TGAGTGACCAGTTCTTTGTTAGGCTTCCGATTGAGTGACCAGTTCTTTGTTGAGGAGGGCTTTTATGAAATTTTCTGTCCAGGCTGGCCCCAGTTTGTGATCCTCTTCATCCCAGCCTTTCAAGTAGCTAAGATTACAGGCGTGATACACTGGTGCACTTTTTTTCTTTTTAAAAGATATACTTCTTTAAAAGATATATTTCTTTTTAAAAATATAGTTTCCTAACACAATTCCAAGTATTTGTGGATTTCATTTTGCACACGTACGTCTTTAATCTGTCAGAGATAGGCTTATGTATGAGAAGAGGGAGGTATTTAATTGATGCTAACGCCAGTATCATTATTGAGCACTATTTTTGTCTCTCATCAACTTATATGTGAATAGACTGTCTGAGGGCTCTGTTTTCTGTTTTATTAACCTTTTAATCTACCCCTCTGTTAATAGTACAGTGTTCATTTCATTTTTCCTGAAGTAGGTTTCTAATTTTTTTGTCATTCTTCCAAGGAACATGAATAAGTGTTAGTTTTTCTCTCAGTCTGAAGTGTCTCTAGTTTATCCTTTCAATTGAATTTCAATTTAAAGCATGCAGACTTTTAATTTGATGAGTATTGTATGTTGACTGGATTTCCTCAAATATTTATCTTATTGCAACACATATCCATCCTTCCTTCCTTCCTTCCTTCCTTCCTTCCTTTCCTTTTCTTTTTCTTTTTTGTCAGTTGTGGGGCCCTGAACTCTGGACCTGGGCACTGTCCCTTAACTCTTCAGTTCATGGCAAGTGTTCTACCACTTGAGCCACAGCACCACTTCCCGCTTTTTTTTCCTGCTGATGTGGTGCTGAGGGATCGAACCCAGGTCCTCATGCATGCAAGGCAAGCACTCTACCACTGAACTACCTTCCCAGCCCCAACACATATACTTTCATACAACCTTTCTTCTTAACTTTCTTTCCTTTCTAAGTCCTTACGATAATTTATTTTATTTATTTTTTTCCAGTCCTGAGCTCAGGATCTGGGGGTTATCCTCGAGCCTTTTTGTGCTCCAGGCTAGAGTTGTACCACTTGAGCCACAGTGCCACTTCTGGCTTTTTCTTAGTAGTTTTATTGGAGATAAGTGTCTCATGGACTTTTCCTGCCCAGGCTGGCTTTGAACTGCCATCCTTAGATCTCAGTCTCCTGAGTAGCTAGGATGACAGGCATGAGCCCTGGTCCTGGTGATACTTTATTTTTTAAGCAGTAGTTACTCCTCACCAAGGAATCCCCTGTGAGAAGACAAATAATGATGGAAAAGTTCAGTTTCTATCTTCTCTTGCTGTAGTCATATTTCTTTCTTCTCCATTGATTGTTTTCCATTCCTGTCTGGAAATCAGATGTCTATGGTACACTTGAGATCTATGTCATAACTTCACTTTGCTGGTATGAATGTGACCAAGAATGGTGTGAGGCGGCAACAAATAGAGCATTTCAGCCGTGAGAGAAAAATTGCTGGCGTAAGGAAACAAACGTAATGAGCCAGAAACTAGCTTAAGCTATACTAGCATGAGAAATGGTCACAAAATGTGCCATGACTCACAGAGATAAACAAAATTTTGACAGAGGCATTTTGTACAAACCAATCAGTCTTTCACCCCATTCAGGAATTATAAGCCTGAAATCCAGATATCTTAGAGCACTTAATAATCCTTGTCCACATATACATAAATAATGTCCAGTTTATAGTGGAAAAAAGTTAGTTCTGCAAGAACTGAGAAACCTGTCAACATCAGTGGCCAAATAGGCAATGCTGAGTAGTTGGAACCAGTCACTTCTCCCTAGCACCAAACATCCTGACATCTGAACATTTATCAAAACAGTACCAAAATGTTGGAGTCAAGAACAGCCTCCTTTCACATCCATTAATACAAGTTACAAAGGAGAATACTTTAGTCTTCTACTTAGGTTTTTCCTACAGCAACAGAAAGTTCCAAAGGATAGATGAAGGAACACTAATAGATATGTCAGGTGGATATTTTTCCTGACCAATTCTCAAGTGCATAGAATTCAAACAATCTTCCTGGCTGCTTGGAGGTAACCCAAGAAGAAGTAGATAGACAAAGGGGCTTTATTATGGTGCTTTGCACATATACATATAATTTAATAAGATTAACCACCTCATTGCTTTCTCTTTCTTCATCAATTGCTTTTGGTCTCTTATTGTTCAATAGTTTGTGTTGACTTTTGTTATCTTTCAGTTTAGAGCCTTTCTGCTTACAAATTAGAAGATAAGCTTTAAAAAAAGCTGGAAGACTTTTAGTCCTGTTTGATACCATCTACTCGATTTTCATCCTCATGAGAATTTACTGAGTAAAAATGATGCAGCATTGTAAATCCAATATGAACTATTGAAAAAGACTATATTGGTACGACAGAAAATGTAAGCTGGAATTAAATATAAAAATTTAGGTAATGTACCCACTCTTGAATGCAGAAATGCACTCAAGAAATGCAGAAGATAAAGGAAAAGAAATCAAAGTCAAACAAATAGAATCCTTACTTCCTTTTCCAACAAAAGATGAACACACATGCAATCTTCAGGAAAGATTATGATGAGATGTCATAAATTGACAAAAAACCATGCACTGATCTGGCACCAGTGTAATTGCAGCTACTTAGGAGGCTGAGATCTAAGGATCTTGGTTTGAAGCCAGCCCAGGCAGAAAAGTACCCATGAAACTCTTCTCTCCAATTAATAACCACTCAAAAAACAGGAAGTGGCACTGTGGCTCAAGAGGTAGAGCATTAGCTTTGAGCACAAAGAGGCTCAGGGACAGCCCTCAGGCCCTGAGCTCCAGTCCCACAACCTAAAAAAAATAAATGCACAATGGCTAAAGAAGTTATTCATTGCTTCACTGCTGCAAGTTGCTCAGAAAGTCATCTGATTTAATGAACAAAGTACATGTTTTGCAGGCTAGTAAACCGAGTGTGGCTTGCTTATCTTAGAGTCTCTCTGTCAGGTTACAGCTGAACTGCTGGCTGAGGATGGGTTTGTTTCTTACCGCCAACACGTTGTTGCTCTGGTTCATTTCTTCCTGGGTTGTTTGCCTGAAGACTTGAGTTCTTTAACATGTGAGCTTCGTGATAGAGCACCTGACAACAGATGATTTCCCTCAGAGCAAACAAGCAAGAGAAAGAAATAAGATGACCAAGATACACTTACGTGACAGCCCCTCCCCTCTACTGCATATTATTGTTTAGGATTGAGTCAGTAAGGCCAGGCTACACTTGAGGGAAGAGGATGATAGAAAGGCATGCAGAATAAGCAGAGAGGAAGTGAGGGTTTGCAGAGGCTATGGACTGGAGGTTTGGGGTTCCTCAGAACTCGATGCTAAAATTCTAATCCCGAAGTGGTGCAGTTTGGAGATGATGCCTTGGGAGGTAATTAAGAAAGAAGCCGAAGCACTTATGAATGGGATGTTCAGTGACTTTCTAAGAAGAGACATAAAGGCTCAATCTCAGTGTCTGCTCTCCGTCATATGAACATACAATGAGAATAGTTTCCGCTGGGAACAAGAAGAAAGTTCTTACTGGCATAAGATCTTGAAGTTCCCAGCCTCCAGTGAAAAATAAATGTTTACCATTTAAGCCACTCACTGCTGTGTGTAGATTGTTATACAGCCTGAATTTACTGGGGCCATTTTAGAAGTTGCCTACTATCATGAGTGCATTGATAAATATGGACACACAGACACACACACACACATTTGTGTATGCACACACGATGCACATTCATGGGGTGATTAGGTACACCTGGTATAGGGCCATTAACACGCAGAGTTCATGCTTCTTTTCCTGTTAGGAATGTTAGCAGAGCACGACAGTATTCATTTCTGCAAGGAATAGATGGCATTCACAGGTTTGGGAATCTGAGCTGATTTAACAGGGGACTATATAAAAATATGTGCCACTGTAGTGAAATATAAGAACTTGGTTTCTATCAGCCTGGCGCATCGCTGCCCCTAGGCTTCCGGCAGGGAAGTGAAAGAGAAAGAATCAGAAGGACGAGAAGACCTCCAACAGAAGTTACCATTTTTCCTTAAAGGGAATCTGGATACAGCAGATGCCCACAGAACAAAGCCGTTGACCTCCCTTGTGCACAAACACAACTAAAAGCCAGAGGTGATGGGCCGCACAGACGTCATCGATACAGGCCCATAGTAACATGGAAATAGTAAAGAGTAGATCTGGAAAGATAACCTGAAGATACAAAGTATGGACCACAAAGGTATTTAGGATGAAAATTACATCTACAATATAGGCAGAAAGGAAGAAAGAGGCTTCCATAAATAGGCTTTCTAAATGGAAGAGCTTGCTGATAGGGACGGGTATTTAACATCAACATGGACTTTCAAACAATTGCATCTCTTGAAGATCCTTAAAAATGGGAAACACACATCCATCTCTATAAAATAATGTGGGGAAACTACTGATGAAAGGCATGTGAGTGGCTGAGACTTTGAAGGGGCTCTTGTAACTCGAGGACTCCGCATACCAGGAGCAGAGATGGAAATCAGGGAACAGGATCTCCTGCAAAATATCCCCCACTCTTTGAAATGGAAATTAGGCTATTCCAATTTAGGAATCAAATTAGAGCAAGCATTCTTCGGGGTGTTAGCAGGCTGTGCTGGAGCCTGCCTGAAGCAGCAGCTAAAGGAGGGAAGCGTGCTTTTTTCCCTGGGTGAAGCAGGATCCCTCCCTCGGCCTGGTTTCATCTTTACTTAGCACCTGCTGGCTTGGGGTGGTGTCGCTCAAGCAATCAGACTGTGTGAGTGTGCCAGGGCCTGCTCTGCCCGGTCTGTGCCCCTCCCTCTGTGCATGCCCCATGACGGCTTGTCCTGATATAGAGGGATTGGGGACTGGTTTAAAATGTCAGTCTCAAGTTCTTTTAGGAAGAGAAAGTGAATTCAAAGAAACAGACAGACAAGTGTCCTTGCTCCACTGGAAGAATTACCATTCCCCTTGGCTATGGCCCACCTGGGAGCCCATTTCGCCTTTAGATCCCGCTGGCAGAAGACGGACGATGAGCTCTGTCGACATAGCATGTCCTTTGTCCTTCACAAAGCCATTCGCAATGACTTCTTTCAGAGCTATCTCTACCTGCTGGAGAAAATCCCCCTGGGTAAGTGAGGCACAACTCTTAGTTTGAAGGGATTGTGCGAGGTTGACAGATATTTAGAAGGGAAGTTAGGACTAGGATACTTCTCAGATACACACACACACACACACACACACACACACACACACATCAGGGTCGGTGTGCTGAAATGTTTCAATGGCATTCTTTTATGCAGAGTCCCAGATCAAGTGATACCTGGCAAGGCAAGCCTCTATTTTGGGATGACTTTGCTTCTCTAGGTTGTTGGTTGGTTGCCTGAGTATTAGGCTTATACAAACCTACTTCTTGAGTTTTGGACAATATAGTTCATCTTTGCAAAAAGCTGGAGTTGGACAAATTAGGCAATTCAGAGATGAGCATATTAATTCAATATTATATCAAATAAAAGTTGAAAAGGTGAAGAAATAGTGGGTCCAATGAGCTCAGCATGTGTGTGTGTGTGTGTGTGTGTAACCTTTGTGTGCATATATGTGTGCGTGTGTATAAACTTCTCCGGGTTTCCTGAGTCACACATTCAATCAGGGAACCTGAAAGGAGGCTATTTTACTTTGGTCTTTGAATAAGAAGGATAAGACCTGAGGTAGCAATGCGTCTCTTTTTTATTACTTCCTCTTATTTTCAAAGACTTAGACAACAGATAAATAAAGGGCTTATCTGGTTTGTACACACTACTTTCAGCCTCTGTGCAAGCAGTTACTTCAGCACACCAAACACTACTGAAGAAGAAACAACTTATGATTAAAGACTTTGATTTATATTTTCCTCAATGAGAGCAGGACCGCTCTGTCTCAGTCCTAATTTGTTTTCTTAAGGTTGCCTGAAAGCCCCATTGTGTAATTGGCGTGGCCAGAGTTTCCAGCTGTGCAAAGGGCTATATCGGTCTTGGTATTGCATTCAAGAAATTAGATGTTAGAAGCCCAACAAAGTTTCATTTATAAACCTATTTCTGAAGCATTTTTAATTCTAGGCATACAAATACCCTCACCTGATAGGTATACAGCTTTCTTATAAAAACACTCATCTATGACTTTCTTTGATCCTCACAGCTCTCTATAGGATAGGATAAATATCAACTATTTTTTACTTCTGTTTTCCTACCTCCTCATTCTAACTTCCCATTTATTTTCAAATTAGGGAAAGGAAATCCAGAGATAATTCTAAGTAGTCTAGAAAGAGTAATACTAACGCAAGAACTAAAGTCTGGGGCGCCATCCAATAGATCACATTGCCCAAGAGTAATTATTTTAGGGTATGTAATATGTCTCATATATGCCCAAATGCACAAATTAGAGCAATTCATTTGGAAGTGGTGTCCTATACACTGCAAAGCACTGCTTTTCTGGAGATACTTTTCAGGATATACCTCCCTAAGAGCCGTTCGGGAGCTTCAGTTACACTGGACAAAGAGAAAGCTATCAATTACAGTAACTGAGAAGATACTCACTAATGGGTAGATGACTTCCAGACTTAAAATGATTACTAGAGAGAAAAAGGACTCAACTTTGAAAGTAGCGGAAGATGAGTTGAGAACAAGATAAAATTAGAAGAAAAATAATTCGCAACAAAGAGACTGAGGTTTGGTCTTTGGCTTAATCTCCACTCCTTTCTTCCCCCACTAAAATTATTTTTTTCCTTTATGATTAAGCTTTTTTTCCCTTTATGATTGCAATGATGGTTTATCAATGATTTCCTGCTTTTTAACGAACATTATTTTATTGATACAGTATTCCATGGAAGCCCTAAGGAGAAAGCAAAACTTCTCGGTTTATGACTGGAAACAGGGTCTTTGCTTCATCTATGCTCTAAACCTCACCAAGGGCTCTGGAGATGCTTCTAGAGCATGCATAGGGGTTCCATAAACACAGTCTGAATACCATGAGTCTCCTCCAAGAAAAAGTTGATTTTATTTTATTGAGATTCAGTTTTCCATACATGAGCACTACTTATGTTTTTTTTTTGTTCTGATGATTTAGCCTGGGCAGAGTTTCCCCAGAGAACCACTGAGTTAGTTCCTTACACAGTATCTCTTTGATGGTAGAACTTGAAGATTATCTTAGTTGGACAAGGCTATGCTGGATTAACAAATGAATTCTTGAAACTGCATTGGCTGAACACCTACGTCTACTCTGCCCTACGTCTATTCTGCTGCACCAGTTTTTTCCATGTTTTGTGGCAGCAGGAGAGCAGGCTATATTTTGTGTGGGCATTCAGGGATCTAGTTTCCATCAGCCGGCACACCACTAGTCCCTCAACACTAGAAAATAGAGGCTAAAGTCTTGTGTATTAGCTTAGAATACTTTGACCCCAAAGGAGATCGATCTATCTATCTATCTATCTATCTATCTATCTATCTATCTATCTATCTATCTATCTATCTATCTATCTATCTATCTATCTATCTAATATCTGTTTAGATTTCATTGCCCAGAAATAACATGATGCTGGGAACTGAGAAGGGAGCATATGTGTATTTGATCATTAACTGTTTTAAGGAAAAAATACCTCGAGGGCTGGGAAGATGGCTCCGTGGTAGAGCGCTTGCCTTGCATGCCTGAGGCCTTGGGTTCGATTCCTCAACACCACATAAGCAAAAAGAAAAGAGCTGGAAGTGGCACTGTGGCTCAAGTGGTAGAGCGCTAGCCTTGAGCTGAAGAGCTGAGGGACAGCGCCCAGACCCAGAGTTCAGGCCCCACGACCGGACCCCCCCCCAAAAAAAATAAGATTTTCAGTATTTTCACAATAAAAAATTAATCAGTAAATTAATTTAAAAAAACCCTCATACTTTTAGAGAAAGCTACATCAGACACTACTTTCTGGTCTCTTTAGTCATATTCAACACAAGAGAAATGTGTAGAATTCTCATTATTGTACAAAATACTGCCTACTGGCAAAGATTCCGAACTAATATGATATTCTCTATTATTATTCAGGATTTGAAAAACTGGTAATGGAAATGAATCTACAAATAACTTTCTACTTCTCCTTAAAAGCTTTAACTGGAGGGAGCAGAGAAAGCAATCTGCCAGCTCTCTAGGTAGATCGTGTGTGTGTGTGTGTGTGTATGTGTGTGTGTGTGTGTATGTGTGTGTGTGTGTGTGTGTGTGTGTGTGTGTGATTTCTGTTCCATGGCAGAAACTGACTGTTAAGAAGAAAATTAACATTTAAATTTCATGCCAATGTGACTTTTATTCAATAAAAGCCTCTGCCAGTCTGATGGATTCATTTAAACCTTGTTTCCTTTTTGACTCAGCGGCTCGTATCTCTCAGATCACGCTTGCTTGCATAAGTTCCCCTGGCCGGATTCTCGTTCTAATGAGAATAGAGACTTATCTACTTTTCCCTCTTCTAGATCTACATATGTAGCATTCACTATGGTTCCTGGCACATAGGAAGAATTCATTAAGTATCTATTAAATGAATGAAATGACCTCCTGCTAAGAATAAATGGCATTGCATTGCCCTGTGAGGGAGCTGACCTCCAGAAGTTACTAAAGTCTATGAGCAGCATTTTCTTCAAAACTGTAGGAGGCTATCTGAAGGATTAGATGCAGCATACACGGGAAACATCTCCTGTAAGCATGTTTCTTTCCTTCCGCTGAATCAGACCTCTTCTGCAATCATCATGTAGCACTTTCTAGAGCGGGCATTAGTGAAGATAATAACCCTCATTCACTATCCAGGAGTTTTCAGGCTGCAGCAAATAGTAGGCGTTTCAGGTTGGACATACAACTTGGCCACCAGAGCTGGTCCCTCCCCAGCTTTGCCGAGGTGTTTTAGAGCCAGCTCTCCCTACTCTTTCTGATTCCACTTCATAAAAATGAAAACAAAGCCCTTCTTTCAAAGAAAAAGTTAGGGACCCCCTCGTATAGAGCCCGCACAGAGAGTTAGTTGTTTGGGGGCAATTATGGCAAGAGCCGTGGTTAACCAGACTCTCTGATTCCTTCTTTCCTTCCTTTCTCTCTCTGCCTCACCCCAGCACGCTATGTGGTGACAGTGGGTCATGGCAAAATTTGCTCAACGTCCCTGACCAGCCTCAGAGATTTATGGAATATCAACCCAGATTATACATAGCTAAATGTCCCCAGTGTAAGATTTAGCAGAACTGTGGAACAGAACAGATTTCCAGGGGGAAAAATGGAAACACGCTGATCACTGTTCTCAGTGTCACACATAAATTATCTCAGGTCATCTTCACAACATCTCTATTAGGTGTGCTGTTATTTTGATTATCTTACTGGAGGAAACGCTACACAGGAGTTAAATGACTTGTCGAAGGCTTTGTGGTGGTACGTGGCGGGCATGATTAGTAGCCAGGCAGTCTTTTTAACCACCAGATCATGCTGCCTCCCACGTGATCAGGAGTTAGATTCATGTGCGTAGTATTGTTAGTGTGTATACATGCATATATATTACCAATATATTATGTGTTACATATATATGATAGACATCTCTTTCCTCCCTCCCTCCCTCCCTCCCTCCCTCCCTCCCTCCCTTCCTCCCTCCCTTCCTCCCTTCCTTCCTTCTTTCCTTTCTTTTTCATTTTTTCTTTCTTTCTTTCTTTCTTCCTTCCTTCATTCCTTCCTTTCCTTTCTTTCCCCTCCCTTCCTCCCTTCCTCCCTTCCTTTCTTCCTCCCTCCCTTCCTTTCTTCCTTCCTTCTTTCCTTCTTTCCTTCCTTCCTCTTTCTTTCTTTCTTTTTTTTTTTTTTGGGTCCGGTCGTGGGGCCTGAACTCTGGGCCTGGGCGCTGTCCCTCAGCTCTTCAGCTCAAGGCTAGCACTCTACCACTTGAGCCACAGCGCCACTTCTGGCTTTCTTTCTTTCTTTCTTTCTTTCTTTCTTTCTTTCTTTCTTCCTTCCTTCCTTCCCTCCCTCTATTTTTTCCTTCCATCCCTCCCTCTCTTTCCTTTCTTCCTTCTCTCCCTTTCCTTCCTTCCTTCCTTCCTTCCTTCCTTCCTTCCTTCCTTCCTTTTTCCTCCCTCCCTCTCTCCCTCCCTCCCTCCCTCC